TCATCCGCAATTCAATGTAATAATTTAAATTAGGTAAATAAATAAACCATTTCTGTTATATTACATTTATTAACATGATGTTAATTTACTTAATTTTAATAATATTTTAAACTTTTGATTTCTTATATTACAATTTGTAAAGTGATTGATAAAAACTAATAAGTTGATTGTTTGATAGCAACAAATTAATTTTTAGGAAGCAAAATATTAATAACATTACGTTACTTAAAACTGACTGAAACGTTGTATCATCAAAGATCTTATTAATGAAACAACTTTTTGTAACTTTAATTTATCACCCTCTGCACATTAGATAGATAATCTATAGAATAAGTGATTTTTACATTTTAGCGGTAACAAATGTAAAAAATATCAGTACTTTTTTATCTTCTTTTTCTTGTTAAATCTAAAGAAGGAAACAATTATGGTCGTTAAATGCAGCAATCAAATCAAAAATTATAGATTCGTAAATTAATTATTTGTTTACAAACTAATTTGTCGATTCAGTGAATAAATTTTTATTTAGAAATTTTTTTTCATATTCGTTGTTTCGTTTTCTTCCTTTCCTTGTTTCATTCACTTATAAGAATCACTTCATTCATTTATTCATTCCTTATTAAGAATCACTTACGAGATGATAGATGATAAACAAAATTGAAAACGGTCATTTTTTAACGGAAAACATTAAATAACTCTACATCTGTCATCTTTATACACGAAGAAATGATTTGGTATACGGAATAAAAACGAATGGTCGTCATATCAGTGAGAAGTAGATATTTTGCTCCCACTAACGCTACTTTAGCTCAATACGCCTGAAAGTTTTCTTATAAATTGCAGTATCCCTAATAGGTGGAAAATAAGGTTAGCGGTACAGTTAATCTAAGACAAACGCTAGGTAAAATTTCTATTATTAAATAATTCTCGCGTAATGTTACATGATGTTTGCTACAGTCAACGTACTCTAACTCTATTATAATGTTATAAAACAATTTTAAGAAATGCCTAAAACTTCGCAACATTTAAACATATTTATTAAAATGCGTCGCTTCCTCGAATTTTTTGGAAAATGTAAAATATAGAAAATATTTTGGACCTATAATTTCTGACTTCAGACATCCACAGCCTCCATTTTCTTAATTCTCCCTTTTAACAATATTTCTTTTAAAAGAAAATTATTTTTGGAGACTTTAAAATTAAAATTCCCTTATCTATAAATGATGACTTAACAATATTGGCATGAAATTATTATTGTTTTGTCTACTCAAGTCAAATAAGTAAGGCAAGGCATGTAGTTTTTCCTAAAGTTTTGGATTAGTAGAATGCCTTGTATTTTAATTGATAATTATAGTTCCATTCTAAATACAAGTAACGTTTAATGACGACAGCGTTTGCATCTACTTTTTATTACAAATATTACGCAACTTTTGAACAAAATCAAATATTTGACAACTAAAATACCTTTTGCATGAAAAGGTTAGCAGCGCTAACAAGAATCGTAAACACGGAGCACGGTAGAAGCTGATAAAACAAAAGAGAAAGTTTAACTCAAATAAGAACCATATAATGATTATCTGCGGTTCCGTATCTGATAAGACTATGCTAAAAATCTGTTTTAATCATCATTTAAAACAAATAAAGGAGAAATAATTGTTTGTAGCCGACAGCAGTCGGTGATGTTTCAATTTTGTTTAACTTCAGTGGCGGATTTTTTTTTTTAAACGGATAAGTTACTGTGAATTTAGAACTGACTTAATTCCAATAATATTAATGCCTTAACAAAGTGTTTCCCGGCTTGAAGGGGCTCTATACCGAGAGAAAAACTCTTCATGACGAATTCTCTTTCACCTACATAAGTTATTTAAAATTTCTAAAATAGGAAAAGTCAATTTCGGATAAACCTAAGATAAAATAAGAAATTTCAAATGTTGTTTTTTTCTTCTTCATCAAAATACAAACAAAGTTATGGCAGGATAACTCAGAATTTCGCAGTGGGGAAATAATCCTGCGATTTTATTTCGATATTTTTAAAACATTTTTTTCGGCATTTGAAACTTAATCGTTTACACTAGGTTTACTAGAGCTCACTTTATTCTAAATTTTAAAGTATCATTGGAGGGAAAACAGAATTTGCCATGAAAAGTTTCTCCTGTGGTGTAGCGTCTTCTTAATATACATAACTAATAATAACAAAACTTTCCTTAATATATATCTTAATAAGCCTTGTCAAAAATATATACACATTAGCGATCGTAAAGAAATATTTAAGTGGAGGGGGGAACTCTATCGAATCACTAGTTGAGGAAAGCAGAACGAGAGAAAACAAAACCTGTTTGACAACAAAATCTAATTAAGGTAAGAGATGTTTCAAACAACGACCCTTCAACGCCCTACTGTCTCCATCAGCAATCAAACAGGTTTTATGTTTTCTGATCCTCCTTCCTCATTTGTAATATTTCAGTAGTGTTTTTTTTTCCGTTCCTTTTTCAAATGTTAATTCCCCCCCCCCTCAGTGGAAGAAACTTTCCAATGGGGTAGGTAGCATGGCAAATTATAATAGCATTAGTAAATAATTATAATCTTAGTTTCTTTTTTATTTTTTTTTAAAAAGCAGCAGAACATAACCGTCGTTGAACAATCGACCCAATTTTTGAGTTCACGACTACTAATGTTTAACTCCGTAGCCTTGTCATTTTGAACCCTGATCCAGAAGACAAGGGAACTCCTGTATCAAGTATTGGGAGAAATTTGCCATCGTGGAGGACTCTTTGATGGAACTAACCCACATTTGCGTTACATGGAGAGGAAAACCTCCCACGATTAGCCTAAAGGCAATGGGCTCTAACCCATGATCCATCTACAGCTGAGAATATTTTACGTCAGCACGGATATTTACGAGTATTTTACGTCCGAGTTTACTCGGGATAATAAATATTTGCAATATATATACATACCCGAGTTAACTCGGGATAATGAGGGAAGCGGTTAAAATGTTGCGGTTGTCTCAAGAATGCATTTCCAAATATATGGAATTTGTGGCGAAACAGTCGACTGAGTGACTTTGCATTTACTATCACGGGTCGTATCACCTTGAATTTACAACCTGCTTCTTTCATAAAACTGTGAATTTATGATGGGAAAAAGGTCATCCTTGTAAGATAAGCTTACGATTTTCTTTTTTTCTCTATTTCTTTTAAACATTAAATTCCATCTTTAATGTCACTACTCAAAATCAAAAGATGTTCTTCCATGAAAAGCAAAAAAAGAAAAAAAAAAAAGGAAAAAAAAGGATAGAACGCTTTCCTCTTAATTATTTGACTCGAATTCGAATTCCAGCAATGGCTGGTCGATAGGATTTTCGCCCAATGGCTTAACCCCGACCACAGTGCCGACATGAAATATATCCTCCATGGTAGACGGATCATGGGTTAGAATCACCTTTCTGTCGGGATAATCGTGGGATGTTTTGTGGTTTTCCTCTTTTTTTCTAACACAAATGTGAGTGATTTCCATTAAAAAGTCAATCCGTATTCTGCTCCCGGCTCACATTAACCACAATGGTAAACGAATCATGAGCTAGAATCTTGTTGGGCTAACCGTACATCCTCAATGGTAGACGGATCATGGGTTAGAATCACCTTTCTGTCGGGATAATCGTGGGATGTTTTGTGGTTTTCCTTTTTTTTTCTAACACAAATATGAGTGATTTCCATCATTAAGTACTACACGAAAGCTTGTTTATCCCGATGCTAGATCCAGAAGTTTCTTTGCTTTCTGGCTTGATATAAATGTACTAGTTAAGTAGTTGAGCATTGATACTCGTTCATTATAGAATGAACCAGCTGTTTCAAAGCCGGTAATTTAAAAAATTGAACAAGTAAAACTGAAGCCATGCTGGCACAGGGATAGAGAGCTAGCCTAACGATGTGACTGAGGTTCGAATTTCAACAGTGGCTGATCAATACGAATTCTGCTCCCGGCTTGTAACAATCTTATTGGTAAACAAATCGTGAGTTAGAATCTTGTTGGGCTAACCGTGAGATAATTTCGTAGTTTTCGTCTCCATGTAACGCAAATGCGGGCTAGTTATATCACAAAGGCTAGTTTGCCCTTATGCAGTAATTTCCTTGTCTTCTGGATTGTCCAGAAGTGGACTGATCGTAAAGACACGTTTCCCAGCAGATCACCGAAGTCAAGCATCACTGACTGCGGTCAGTAAGCGGGTGGGTGACCACTTCGTTCAGCCTCCGTACGGACCGAGGGTGCGCGGTATTGGTTCTCGCTAAACTGTTTTATCCTGAAGTGCTCGACTTGGAGCGCTGGTCGTCGGACTACCAAAGCAGGGAAGCAATCCCCTCAGCAGAGGATTAAAATTGCGATAGCATACCTTCGGATCATCCTCGGGGATGTTTCCCAGATCGTCGCCAATAGAGCATTGTGCAGCTCTAGTATGACATAAATTATGTACCTACCTACCTGTCTTCTGTACTCAGTTTAAACTAAAAGGCTATGGAACTGAACATATTCAATAGCCGTAAACCCAAAATGGGTCTGCTTTTCAGCGCAGGCTGTAAAATAAAATAAAATAAATAAATAGTTCAGTAGCTATCTCGTAACCATGTTAAGGAACTAATTGACAGTAAAAATGAAAACTTTATATACAGTAGTTCTCATTTTTATTTTGCCCCCAGCCTTTCGTCTGCATTTTAAGAGCCCTCGCAAAAAAATTAAAGACAAAAAACGTGTGCATAATCCCTTAAATGCCGCATTGTTCCAGGTCAATAATCAATGTTATTTTTAAGATCGAATATCAGCGCTGTTCCATGTCAATGTTTATTTTCAATGTCATGAGTATGAAAGTTTAATTAACGGGAGGGGGGGGGGAAGCTTTCCCACCCTTGTTCCTTTTTGTTTGTTTTAATTCGAGCAATGTGTATAATTTTAATTTTCTCTTTTTTTTTTATAATTCTTCAGAAAACATCTGCAGTAAATACGTCAAAAAAGAAGAGTTCTAAATGAAAGTAAATTTATAGGCAATTAAAAGAGAGATAATTTAGCTTTCATTTGAGTAGAAGGCAAAGATAAGCTTCCTCTGGCTTCTGTACATTATAATTTATTAATATTCTCGACAACTTCCTTTTACACCAAAAATTGTTTTATTTTTCCCTTCATCTCTTGTGTCCACATCAACACTACGTCCAACATTATTGATTTTGATTGCTCATTTATACATTTCTGGTAAGTGAAACAATCATTATATATACTCAATTGTTTTTATCTCAAAATAGAAACAACGAAAAAAAAATATTATAATACATAATTATAAAATATGTATGCGATTTTCTATGATACGATATTACGATTTTCGGGGGTGATAGAAGCTTTTCATAAAAGTAATATTTTTCTGAAATAGTAAAAGTGAAGTTCCTACATTTCACATCTGATGGGAAAAGACACTATTTTCTCTTTTAAAATTTATTTGAAAAAAGTAGAATTTAAAATTTTTATTTTGATTCATTTTTACTTTCTTTTTTTAGTTTTGCATTTGTTAGTTACAAACAGAGCGTAAGTTTTGGCTACCAATCATCATCCATGCTAAAGTCGAAAACATAATTACAAAAACTTTAAAAAAAACCTTTAGAAATGAACATTATTAAAAATAAAATTTCAAATAAGTAAGTCTGCATGCGTTTCAAGAATTTTAACAGAAAAAAATAACAATAAAGATTACTTATAAAAGAAAGTCGACAAAAGAAACTTAAAAGGCTCTTTTTTTTCTTTATTCCGAATATCCTTTGTATAAAAAGGATTGTTTTTATCTCAAAAAGTTTTAATGAGGAACTTCCAGAAAAAAATGATTCATACAGAATTAATAATTATTTGTAAGTAATTTACATAATAAATTTAATTATTTTTAAAAATATATTCAGCGAAGCATTATATATAAAATAATAATAATAATTTGTAAACGATATATTGAATAACATTCATTCGTCACCAAGCCTAATCTTTTGACGCGGATGAGACACCGGTGTCTCTTTTATATATATTTTTCCGGGGCTCTAATTACTAAAAATATATTTTTGTATTTTTTAATTGTAATCTAATATTTAATGAGAAAAAAAATCTGCTAGATTATCGGAGTTATATTTGTTCTAAAATAAAAAATCCAAAAAAAAAAGGGTAGTTTAATTTTTTTTTTCATTCATATTCAAAAATTGGTTTCGTAAATTATAATTTTTTTGTTGTTGATGAATAACTGTTACTTTTAGATCTAAATAACTGTAAATAAGTGCAGATTAGAAAAATTAATGTTTGGAAGTAAGCAGTGTTTGGAGTTACAGTTCATTTACGTCGCACTAGAGCTGCACAATGAGCTATTGGCGACGATCTGGGAAACATCCCTGAGGATGATCCGAAGACATGCCATCACAATTTTGATCCTCTGCAGAGGGGATAGCACCCCCGCTTCGGTAGCCCAACGACCAGCACGCGAAGTCGACCACTTTACGTTAGAAAAGTTTAACGAGGACCCATACCACCGCACACCCTCGGTCCCTACGCTGACTGATCCAAGTGGTCACCCACCTGCTCACTGACCACAGCCAGTGATGCTTGATTTCGGTGCCATGTTTGGAAGATTTTACCTTTAACGCGGAAAAAGACACCGTATTTCATAAGGATAAATTATTAAAAAATGATACATTTAATATTTTTCACTTGACCTAATTAATACAAAATAATGAAAAAATGTATTAAAAATCTGTGTAATAAAAATTCTGCGTCAAAAGAGTAAATCCTATTTTTGCAATTTCAACGACTTAAATTTCGTTTTTAACTAGATTTTAAAAATATAATATTTGTCATTGAATCTTGATGGTTTATTGCAGCTTCTGATTGAATCAACATGAAATCTGAAGCAGAAATGGTCAGCAACAATGAAATTAAAACAAAGGGTGATGAAAAGAAGGGAGAGAAAAAGTTCTTCGCTATTGACAAGAAAATGTGGCGCTTTAAGCTCCATTTTTTTCTGTTTATAGGAGGTGAGTAATATAATGCAGTTATAATAAAAAAATATTCTACGTGAAAGTAGAAATTCCAATAATAAATACACCTTGAAAAAATAAATGATGCCTGTTTTTTTACTGGTATTGCAGAATAGGTCCAGTTTGACCAAACTTTTGAGACAATCGAGTCTAATACAAGGATACGTTTTATAAGTCAGTAGAAATATTTTCGAAAGCCTATTTTTAATCACAAAATTTTTAGGTGAATGTCTTTTTTTTTTTTTTTTTAATATTTCTAAAGTTAAAAAATAATAAGTTAAAAACTAAATCCATTATTAACTTATGAATAATAATATGCAAGTTAAAAAATAATATAAAATAGTTCTTACATCATTTTCCAAAAAAAAAAAAAAAAAAATCTTGCTTTTCAAAACTCATGTAAACCTTAAATGTAATGTGTTTTCGCTCATGCACTTCTTATATCAAAGTCTATAATTTATGAATTTCTCAATTATTTTGGATTTGTAAGATAAAATTGAGTTTTTTTAAAAAATTTATATAAAAAAATAAATATAGGGATTTGGGGTAGTATAATAATAATTGCAATCAAATCAAGGGACCGTTTTCGATGAAAAGCACCACGATTTTTTCTCCAAAACATATTAAGTACCAATCTGAAAAAGAAAAAAAATGTCAAGGAACTGTTTAATATAAAAATGTATCCTTTGGAAAAATGAGTGGTTCATCATAAAATTGCAATTAATGAAATTCTCAGTTCATTAGCAATTGATGGAAGAAACCTTTGTACAGTATTACAATGATTACAGGTTTATCAAAAATAAATAAATGAACAAAATTAAAAAAAAAAAGAAAGACAAATTGGATTATTTTTTTGTTGTGACTGATGATGAAGTGTTTGTGATATGGCACATATCGTAAAAGCGGGTGGGTTAAACTTTTTTAAAAAACAATTCAGTTTAATCGGTATTGCCTGATTGTTCAATTTGATTTTGTTTAAGTGTCTAATGTAAGCAAAATTAAATGGGTTTGAAGGTGAAGGTCTTACTCTAAATATGCCAATTAATAAGTAGAGATATTTATTAATAAGTACTAATTAATATTTTATTTAAGTTGCGAAATTAGACATAAGGCTGAATAAACATATTTTCTTTCCCGATTTTCAAATTATGAAAAACATGACCTTAACATAACTAAAATTAGCGATATGGGTTAAAATTCACTTTTAAGTGTTTCGAATAATATATTCACGCTTATTAGTGGCTCGGAGGAATGATGTCCATAAGTACGAAGCCCATGTTAGATAAGAAAAAATAAAGTGTTCTCAATATTCCTCCAGGTCTTCTTTTTTAGAGGTTTTTCTTTTCGTTTACTGCTCTTAATATCTAGCCTTAGAATCCTTGTCAAAAAGGAATCTGATCTCAAATTAAAGATTTATATTCTGTGTCTTAAAATGAAAAAGGTTTATTTCGATACCAAAACTGCGTATTTGCTAGTTCATTATAAGAGTATGTGGTCCATAACATTTACTGCTTAACTTTCCTTACAAATATCTGTTTGTCAAAGGAATAATTTGTTTCACTACAATTCATTAATAACCTAACACAAGTTATTACTTTTTAATACAGTATACATTACCATCGATGTATGAAGGGCTTGAGTCACTTTACAGAATGCTTAGGCACTCTAAAGAATGATAAATGTTCGTTTGGCAAAGTATAAAAATTATGACATATGAGAGGCGTGTTGTTTTCGTCAATTTCAACCTTCATCTATGAAAAGGCACCCCAACGTAAAATCGAGTTATCGTGTCTTATATACAAGGGAATTGGAATTGTACTTTTGTAGTGGTAGACACACTACAATACACCCCCACCAGAATTATATCTGTGATAGAATTCGATGAACGGATACCACTAGTTGATTCATTACTGTTTTGTGAGAAGCAAGGAGAGCTGTATTAAGATCACCGTAATTTTTGAGTGCTGACCGTGAGAGCTGTATTAAGTTCACGGTCGTGGTTGCTCCTGTGTTGCCTTTAGCAGTCGAGTGTACTGCAAAGCAACAGCGTGACGAGGGCAATGTCGCTGTCACAAGTGGACAATCCATCGAAGTAGGCGTGTTCAAATCGAAGTGGGAGTTTCTGTCAAGGTAGGCATGTTGACATCACGTCCGGGTCACCAATGGGGGGTGTGCTGTTATCGACAATGTCAACCTTCATCTATGAAAAGGTACTCCAACATAAAGTCGATTTATCATGTCTTATATACTCTTGGGTTGGAATCTTATTTTTTAGTAGTAGACTAACTATTCATACTTTACCTAGTCATTGTATCGAATTCCTGTATGTTTATTTACGAGTAATTGTATAGAAAGTCTAGGAAATGTGTGAAAGATCACATGTTTCATACCGATTTTTCATTTTGATTCAATAGAATATGGTCTACTACGTAAAAACAAAGTTAAACAAGAAATTGTTTTACTTAGTTATAAAAATATATATTTTTTCTTTCCAGGCATTGCTACTGTGTTTCCATACTTACCACATTATGCCAATAAAAATATTGGAATTTCTTTCACAGCCATTGCCATAATATTTATGGTGCAACAGTTTTTATTCATTGTCACAAAGACTATAATAGGTTATCTAGCGGATTATTTCAATCAACTCAAAGCAATGATCTGTATTTTGACTGTTACACAAGGTCTCAGCTTTGCACTCATTTTAATCATACCGAAAATTGAACACACTGTTACTTCCACTGCTAACAACTCATCGTGTTATCTAGAACATTTGGAAAAATTCTTCGATCCAGAATTATCATTTTTAAAAACTGATGATGAAATGATTTCTTTCTGTGGCGAGCTGGACTTGGAACAAAACCCTGTATTGAATTGTGAGCGTGATCTTTGTGACCGTGTGTGTTTATGCACCCAGATAAATGATAGCCGATGCTGTTTTTCTTTAAAAAAAAGAGGGAATTTCAGTCAAGAATATATTAAAAACCACACAACAATGCACTGCTCGTGCCCCGAGGAACCACCGGAAGATGCGACACAAATTAACGAATTTCTATCCTATCAGTTCTGGCTATTCGCTTTCATACACACTCTTGGAATGGTATGCAACAATGCAGTGTTCACACTCTCAGATACAGCCTGCTGTGAAAGTGTGGAGAAAACTGGCACCAACTTCGGACGCCAAAGACTGTGGGGTGCGATCGGATGGGGATTGCTGGCTCCTTTAGGTGGACTTCTGAACGACTGCACGGAGAGCTACATCCCATCGTGGATGTTCATGGAAGTATGTTTGTGTTTTGTGATATGGAACATTTTGAAACTAGAATTAGAAAAACCAACTTTTTCAAAAAATATCATGAAAGATGTCGGAACTGTACTGAAGTCAGGCGAGTTCTTGATTTTTGAAGCAGGCTTGTTGATGAACGGCATCGGAGCAGCTCTGATCTGGAGCTACTTAGTGATGTTCCTCATATCCATCGGTGCCAGCAAACTGTTATGTGGATTGTCTCTCACTGTGCAAAGCTTCCTAGGCACTTTACCATTGATGTACTTTTCTGGAGCAATCATAAAGAAATTGGGACATTTAAACGTTTGTTCTTTAGCTCTGATATTGTACACAGTTCGTTTTCTGTGGTACAGTTACTTGTACAACCCATGGTTGGTTCTGATTGTTGAATTACTCCACGGCTTCACGTATGGATTACTGTATACAAATATTGCATCTTTTGGCAAGGAGAGTGCAAAGCCAGGAACTGAAGCAACTACACAATCACTTCTATTTGGAACGCACGAGGGATTAGGTAAGTAGCTTTTCTTTATCAGTAATTTTTTAAGGTTTTTGATGATGTTTGCTTTCCTTAGGTTAAGTCTTTTAAGTAAGCTAGTGTTAACTTCAAAACGATTTAAATAAGCATATTTTGTACAGGAATATCTTTTTTTTTTTTTTTTAAATGTGGCTAATTTACAAATGTTTCTTTAATTGAATTTTAATGGAATCCAAAAAAAAAAAAAAAATAATGGTTGATTAACATTCTTTATCAATAATGTTTTAAGGTTTTTGATGATGTTTGCCTTCCTTAGGTTAAGTCTTTCAGTAAGCTAGTGTTAATTTCAAAAAATAACGATTTAAATAAGTATATTTTGTACAGGAATATCTTTTTTTAAAAATAAATAGTAGCTAATTTACAAATGTTTCTTCAATTGAATTTTAATGGAATCCAAAAAATTAAATGAAATATTTATCATTGATTAACATTCTTTATCAATAATTTTTCAAGGCTTTTGATGATGTTTGCCTTCCTTAGGTTAAGTCTTTAAGTTAGCTAGTAACTTCGAAAATTTTTTTTTAATAAGTATATTTTGTAGAGTAATATTAAAAAAAGAAAGAAAGAAAGAAAGTGTCTAATTCACAAATGTTTCTTTAATTAAATTTTAATAGAATCCAAAAAAAAAAAAAAAAAAAAAAAAAAAAAAAAAAAAAACAATTTAATAATGTTTTATATGTTATCCTAAGCTAAATATATCATGAGCAAAGTGTGCAGGGAAAAATTAACATTATTTGAGATATAAGAACCTAAAGATTGTCATGTACTATAACAGGGGTGGCGAACTTTTATGTATCAACGTGCCCTTTTTCTAAAAATATTTTTAATGGGGTAATAGACGTTCCATCAAATAATTTCGACTTCATGATTATTGGGAAAATAATACTATATATTGTCAACTCAAAACTCTTCATTTACTACGTAATAAAATTTGCAATGTCCCAGTTTTAAGCGTAATTCAACTTTAAAGTAACATCAGTTTGACTTCTGTTGTTGCAGATCAGATGACAAATAGCTTATATTAGGGTTGTAAGATGTTAGTTTAAGCAGAATGCGTGCTGAACTGGAGTCATCTGCCTAACGGTTTCTTAGCCAGTGTTTAATGTTATTCATCTCTGAAAATAATTACTCGCTCACATAGTTAGATGAAAATATAGTTAAAATAGCACGATTCAGCTTCTTCAAACAGTTAAATGTGTCTGGTAACGAATTCCATGCTTCCAAAAAAAAAAAAAAAATTATTGGCATTCTTACTTATATTGCTTGACAATCTTTCTGTCAGCTGCATTTCAAATTCTTCAATTTACAACCAATCAAATTGAGACAAGCTCAATTTATCAAATGAAGTCACATCAGGATACATAATAAACTTGAGTGTTTCCGATAATTCTTTGAACTGAGAAAATCTCGCTGAAAATTCTTTGATTGAAGAATCAATGACAGAATCAAATCCTTTAGTGACTGTTTCTACGTCTGCTTTCACATGTATATCTAAATCGTTGATACTTTTTTTTCAAGTTTGAAAGTACTTGTAGTTTCTTGTAATAATATCATTCCTGTAAACATGCAGTTTAGCATCAAAAGAGCGAATGAGATCTATCCTGATGATAATCATTTTATTTGTGCATTGAAGCTTCACATTCAATTCATTGAAACGTTGGCATATGTCTGTAAAAAACATCAATTTTAAAAACCACATAACATCCAATAACTGTGGGTATTATTCAATTTTTCCCTCATTTGGCAGAAACAGTCTGATTTCTTCCAAGCAATCAAAAAAATCTTTGAAGATAGATTTTAATTTTAATGTTAATATGCTCCATCAGGGTGCGTAGCCAAATCTTGCAACAAAAAATAATCTCCTTTTAAGTACTTTTCAAGCACTCAAAAAACATTTTAAAGCTCTATATACATTAACAAAATGCAAAATAATTTATAAAGACTTTACATGATCATGATAAATTAACTAGTCTTTGATTAACTCCTTTTTTGATTATATTATCCAATAAAAATGAGCAAGAGATTTTAGAGGGTGGAAAATGAAGCTTGAAATTGAGAATATCATGCAAAATGCAGAAGAGTTGCACGTGAGAGTGCCATAATCTCACAGAACCCAGCTCACTATACGCACATGTGTACTCGCAAGTAATTAATCAAACCTGTAAAATGATTGGCACTTTCATACGCTATGGACCGACGGTAGGCTGAAATAGATGGTGGTTAAATGAATTGCGAAAACGTTGAATAGAACAATGTGAAAAGCACGCTTTTGATAATACAAGGCAAAAATTGACATGGCAGAGAAAAAAATCTCATTTTCACAAAGGAAAAATTAAGCATTTTTTAAAAACAGTCAATGAAAAAAGCACCTTTAAGGGCTTAAAAAAATAAAAATAAGCACCTTTAAGCACTCTTTAAAAACGCTACGCACCATGTTCATTGTGAACCTTGTGATTGGTGGCGTGCTCCAAATATTGTGTCGCGTGCCATTGGTTCGCCATCCCTGTACTATAATATACAGGATCCACATATAGCATACAGGATCCACAAACAAATGTGGTTTTTAGTTATAAAAAATTATATTGATTTTAATATATTGATTTCAAGAACCATTGAGAGTGTACATTAGTATGAATTCATATTAATTTAAAATTGCCCATCATTGATTCTTTTAAAATGACCATGGTTTGTATTCCAATAAAAAGGGAAGAAAAAAGTTACCTTTAAAGATCTTATAGCTATAATACTATCAAATTTTAAGCAGTAGCAAAAATAGTTCATCTGAAGGATGCTAAAAAATTAAAACTTAAAAGTTGCCTTAAGTTTTATGACACTTAGTTTGGTGTGCTTTTCAGGTGGAGGTTTTGGCTGTGTTCTTGGCGGTCTTGGACTAGATCTAGTTGGAGGTCGTCAGACTTTCTTCATTGCCAGTCTCTTCACTGGATGTGGATTTTTACTTCACCAACTGAGCATCCGGTTGGTCCAAAGAAGAAAAGGAAACATAAAAATAACACCAGAGTTTACTCCAACCGTTGAAACTAATCATAAAATATAGCATTTCAATAAAAATTCATTGCTAGAAAATCAATTAAAATTATACGGCTTTTTCTTATTGAATTTCTTCTTTATGAATTTAATCTGAAGGAAAAAAAAAAAAACCAGAATATCAGTTTTGTTACTGAACTCATAGAATTTCATTTGAGAATAAAATAAAACTTGTCAACCAAGAAGCATATTCTTTAAATACTTTTTTAATGAAATCAACTGGTGCATCCAATGAAGTGCATAAGGAGTTTCGATAAAATATTTTACTATTTTAATCACAGAAAAGTAAATGACCCTATTACAAAATTCAATTTCTTTGCAACTTATATCTTACCCTATTATTAAATTAAAAGAAAGTAAATTAAATTAAACCAGAAAGTAAATTATAAAAAACCTCGTTGATTAAATAGCTTTTGAGAAAATATTTTTTCTTTGTCAAAATCACAAAACTAATTTTTTGACATTATTAAATGTTTAATATCAATCAAACTTAATATAAAAGATTAATAAAACATTTTCATCAAAAAAAATTAATAATCTAAGCCACATCAATGAAAAAGCATATTTCTTTCTCTTCTAAAGGAAACAAAACATAAACACTTTAAGATCAACATCATAAAGTCCTTTTAGGCTTTGCTCGCTGCAAAGTTCTTTTCCATGCCTGTTTCTTCACAGGGAATTGCTTTCTGTGACTTTCTACTTCCTCCCAGATTTCCTTCTGGTCCTCCTCTGGTATGCAACGTCTGTACTCTTTCATAAGGTCATAAGCCTCAAAAGGTTGCTCGAGAGTTCGAGCATGAGCAATTGCTTTCTGGCTGACATGCTCTTTGACATTTTCGATGCCTTTCATGTTTTTTATTTCCCACCTGTGACACCAAGGGGGTGGTTTCAGCCTCACCTGAAAAAAGAACCAAGAAATGGAATATGATAAGACATTGTCCTTCCAAGAGCCCATTTAAATATAACCTATTCATATTTTGGCAATTTCAATTTCAGACTTCATCCAAAAATAAGCAAATCACAAACCCACTCCCTGCTTATATAAGTAAGAAGTACCCCATCTTGTTTCATTTTTTTTCTTTACTGTTGCAGGGGTGACTGTTAGCCCAACTCAAAAATCCCGAAAATTTCATGAGTTTAATAATTATTGACGCATTTGAAAAAAATTTCTTATAAATTTAATTTTTAATTAAAGGTCTTTATAAATTTAAATCATTGATATTTTCAAAACGTGAAATTCTAAATAAATTAAATGCAGCATAATTTAAATGAATAATTATGTAATAAGTTTACTTTTTATCTCTAATCACATCTATTGTTATGCCAGAAAAATATATTTACAAATGAAAGATGCCGAGGATGAATTCTAGTTCTAATATTTTTAAATGAAATATACAAGAATTTTTACAGATAAATGATTTCTTAAAATTTCTGGACCTTGGATTTCCAGAAACTTCCGTATCGCTTTTTCCGGAGCACAATCCTGATTTTAAAACATTTTTAAGCAAAAGCATCAGCTATACCCCTCTTGTCTGCAAAAAATATTAAAATCTCTAAGAGTTTTAAATGGCCGCTAAGCTAAGACTAAGCAAGTAGTATTTATTACTCAGCCGCCCCCTTATTTTAGACAAAGGAAAAAGTAGATCTTTTTTGTCAACCACATTATCATTTCTGCAATTTAAGTAAAGAACATTTCCTATATTCAGGGGTGATAGTGACATAAAATGAAAAGCTCTAAAAATTTTATGAGCAAAAAATTGATATCAATCTATATACCATACATGTTTCGTATTTAACATAATTTTTTTAAAATAAGATTTATAAATAAATTATCTACCAGTGATGAATATCACACCTTTATAGTAACTAAAGACTTACTCATACAAGAACCACGATTTTGGATTTTTATAACTGCGTGAATATGAATCGCAATGTTAGATTTTAAAAATTGCGTGAATTTAAATCACAATATTGAATTGTAAAATCGAGTGAATATGAATATGACGTAAAATTTTTTTATGCCATGTGGATACAAATCGCAACGTGAACTTAAATTAAGTAAATACAAAAATCCATATTACATATTCAAACCGCTTGAATAGGAATCGTGATACTTAATGATTCTGGAGCAGTTTCAAATATTGAAAATGGCAAAAATATATGAAACCAAAGGAATCAATTGCGCATTTCGCCAATTTGCAGAGGAATCACATGCATGTAAGCGTCTCATTAGTGGGAATCAGCGAAACTTTCAAAGTTTGAAATTTAGATTGAGGAATTCCAGGAAAATTTTGGTGAATTAAAAGTTTTTGATTGCCGAAAATTTGAGAACCAACGGTCTTAAAAAATGCGGAATTCCGTGATGTTTCCAGAAATATCATATTCCCTGCTCCTAATTTTTAGACCCAGAAGGATAATACGAAAAATCTGGAACTCCAGGATACCCCAGGAATATAATCAATCATTCCTGTACATTCTTTACTTAAAAGATTATTATTTGATTATGAATCCCTATCTTTTTTTAAAATAATTTTTTGCCAGATATACCCATGAAGTCAGATCAGAATTCAGGTATAATTGCTATGGGTTTTTATGTGATTCTTTAAATTTCTATTTTTTTAACACAATATTATTTCAAAACTCAGAATCAGAAATTTGGTTAAAAACAACAGTGCAAAGATGAGGAAAAACAGATTTTCTCCAAAGATTGTTGAAAACTCGGACAAGAACACATAAAAAATTGTTCAAGGTCAATTCTCAGATTGATTTTTTTCATAAGTATTAAAATATAAAAGCATGTGAGATTGTAATGAAAAAGCTATAAATATGGTCGCTACCCTAAATTTATTAGTCACAAATGGCAAATTGTATTTTACAAGGCTTTTATATTATATCTACATAAATATATAATTAAATTAAAAAAAAAGAGAGTTTAAAAACAAACAATAACTATGCACCACCCTTTACCATAATAAATCTTCTTTTAACCTACTTCAAACTAATCTATTTTTTTAAAAAAAATGTTATGGAAATTATCTCTAAAGCAATATTTACATCTAGAACCTTTCTAATAATCTGATTACAAAGAGAAAAAAACTAATTTTTTTTTTCCCCCTTCTTAAGATTCTTTCTTTGTGAAATTTTTCCGACAGAAAAAATAAAATTAATGTAATAAAATTAATTTTATTTCATTTTTTAAACTATTTAAAGTCATTCTTTAATGAATCAATACATAAAAATTTATTGTAAGAATTCACATTACTAGAAGTGAAGTTACTTAAATATTTTTTTCAAATATAGTATGTTTATTTCACATAAATTGCAAAATTATTAATAATTGTACATTAAAATTGCAAATCAGCATAGAGCAGATGGAAAAAAAAATTCAAGTCATGAAGTAAATGAAAAAATAAAAAGCTGCAAAAGAAAGGGCCAAGCAATGAGAATGAAACATATAAAATAAATAGCATAATCAGCATCCATCATTTAAAAGAATGATAATAAATTAAATGAATGAGAATAAAAATCAATCAGAAATTCTGTCAATTTGAAATAACAACTAATGAACAAACAAAAAAATCTCTTTTTCTCAAGAAATAACAGTAAAAGCTATAAAAATAACTAAAAACTACTAAAGTTTTTAAAAGTCACTAATACAGGAAACAGTAAAATTATGAAGATAACATTAATTGTACCCTTTAGTGAACTTATTTTAGTACAATCAAATATTTTTCAAAAAGTTGCTGAATAGTTTCATATATAACTATATGAAATTATTCCACTATAATATTAGAAATTATTCGACTATTTTAATATTTTTTTCAGTAACTGAATTTAAATAAAACCCCAAAAGTACATCTAATTAGTAATGACTGAATGCTCATTGTGATTATCAATAAACAGACTCGACATAAAAAATTTTCAAATTTATTAAATATGAAATTCCTAATTTTCAACAATCAAAATTAAACTTATTTTGCAAATCATAATTTCATTTACAAACAGCCTATTAATTAAACACTTCAAAAAATAACAATTAATAAAAGAAATTTTGTGAATAACAAAATAGCATACTAAGCGTCTAAGTAAAAATTATACTAAGCGACTAAGTAAAATAAAAAAAAAACATTTTCAGTCTTTAATTTAGAAACTTAGGTACCATTCTATTTCGAAGGACATAAAAATAATTTACTAAATTACCTATATTAGACAACAACTATCCCCAGTTACAGAAGCAATATTGTCATCAAAAATAGTTTGGAGAAATTTTCATATTTTTTACCCAAAGTGGAATATTATCCCTACTTCATTTTTATAATTAGTGGTATTAATTACCATCACAGAGTAGAAAAAAATCAATTACTATTTTGCAAATATGAAAATTTCTGAGTCATATTGGGAAAAAAAAGTATTTTTACACACCTTTAAGGGATTGACACGAATGGGATCACCCGGAACAATAAACTCCGGTTCCATGTTGAAAGGGAAGGTGCTAAACTCTGGTGGTGCATCTCGAAGGTAGTAAAGCTCATCATCAAGTCTCTTCTCCAATCTCAACACTTCTATGGATAGCAGTGAAGGATTGTACATATCATACAAAATCTCAACACCTGAAAGATAAGTCTAATATTAATTAATGCTGCAAAAAAATAACTTTATATTATAATAATTCACAACAAAAATTTTTTGCCAATGTAACCAGTTTCAACATTATTAAAAAATCAAAACTTTTCAATATATTTTTTTGCCTGTCCAGATTCTAATAGTACTTCTTAAGTATTTGTATTCTTACTTCTATTATTAGTACTTTGTATGTATTAGTATTTCTTAATTTTGCCCTGAAGGAAAAATTAAGAAATTTAGGACAGGGGCCAGTTGTAGAATTTTTTAACAGTAGCCACTTTCTAAAACATATGGCCAGTTTTTACAGGGTGCATAGCCAGATTTTTCAACAAAAAATAAGCACCTTTTAAGCACTCAAAAAATATTTTTACTCGCTTTCCAAAAAAAAAAAATCATAATTAGGATCTGTGCAGTAATAATTTTTTTATTATTATTGTTTAAACTTCTTAATTTATAAAGATAAAATCAATAAAATTCAAAAACATTTTCGAAAACTTTACATAATCATGATAAAATAACTAGCTTGTGTTAAATATTGCAGAGAAAAGTGCGAAAATTATGAATATTTTGAAATTTAGAACGGCAATACATACGGCAAAGAAAAAATTCGATTTTTAAAAGATAGAAAATTAAGCAATTTGTACAAACCCCAAATAAAAATAGCACCTTTAAAGGCTTTTAAAAACGCAAATAAAAAATAAGCACCTTTAAGCACTTTTTAAAAATGCTACACACTGTTTTAAAATTTGTTTTCTTAGAATTAAAAAAAACATTTGATATTAATAATGTAAGGCATTTCTTTTGAATCTCACAATATGGTAAACATCATCACAAGGTTCATCTCTAAATTGAAGAAACTTTTAAGAATAAAGAAATTTTCTGATTATAAATAATCATTATCTTGTATTTATTAAAAAAATAATTATATAATGCATGTAGGGTACATTCAGAATCAAAAAAGTGCCATCGGCAAATCGCTAATGTTTAGTTCCCTGAGGGTGATGTCCCACAGTAGTATTGCTAAAAATAGTGCCACATTCAAATAAAGCCTAAAACAATTTCAAAGTTGTAAATCATTATTTTTTAATTTAGCCACCAAGTGGTAATAGGAGTGAAAATAAATGCATGTTAAATGAATAAATTAATGTTTATTAAATATGATCATTTTAGTTTTATTACTTTTATACTTATTAATTAGATTTGCTTAGTAATGCAAAAAAATAAGTGTGAGTAAAAATGATATGTAATTCATACATAATATCATAAAGCAATGGGATAACCATATCATAGGTATCATGTCAAAAGAGAACAAATCAATTGTGTAAAACTCTAGATACCATAACTAAAATTAAGAACTTTTAGTGGTTGAGTTTCTGACCTATAGGATTTGATCACTCTTGGTCCAAGTTAACATGGATATGATTAGCTACATGTATTGGCTCGACCATATTTTGCCCATAACGGTAACAGGCATTTAAATGATTTGGGTACACGACTTCAGTTTTTTCTAATTTTGATTTGGTTACTTTTAGTAATATACCCACATTATAACTTTTTCTATAATGCTTCAGAAGGCGATCAACAGAAAAGAACAGTTCAATATTTTGAAGAATGTTAATCAGGGTGCATAGCAAAATTTCTCAACAAAAAATAAGCACCTTTAAAGTATTCAAAAAATATTTTAAGCACTATATACATTATCAAAATGTAAAATAATTTTCAAAGACAATGCATGATCATGATAAAATAACTAGTTTCTAACAAAGAACTCTTTTCTTGATTATATTAGTCATTATAAAAAGATCAAGAGATTTTTCGGTTCAATATCAGAGGGTGGAAAATGAAGCCTGACAACAATCTCACTGAACCCAGCTCTGTAGACGCACATGTGAACTCTCAAGTATTTCATCAAACATGTAAAATGATTGGCACTTTCGCATGCTATGGACTGACGGTGTGCCGAAATGGATTGTGGTTGAATGAATTGTGAAAACATTGTGAAAGACAAGCTTTTGCATAATATGTGGCAAAAATCGACAAGGTAAAGAAAAAATCTCACTAACAAAAAGGGAAAATTAAGCACTTTTTGAAAACACCTAATGAAAAAAGCACCTTTAAAGGCTGTTAAAAAATTAAAATAAGCCCCTTTAAGCACTTTTTAAAAAACACCATGCACCATGTTAATTCTCTGCAAGAGCTCTAGCACCAGGATGACAATGTATATGATATTGTATAATTATTAACAAGTTTCATTTAACACACTGATACAATTACGATGCATGCCATAAAACAATGAAGTTGAATTAATAACATATTATATATTACTTTTTACAATATCAGAAGGACAATTTTAGTAAAAAACATCTTCAATATGATTTAAATAGTAAAATGCCAATTTCAATAATTAAGGAATGACAAAACTAAAAGTTTAATTGCTTGCCTTTTACGTAAATAAAATTTATATGTAATGCATTGATAGATAAAGAAAAAAAAAAAACTTATATTTTAAACAAAAAGCTTTCACAAAAAATTTTGGAAGAAATTTTTTTTATGAAAACAAAATATGTTACTTAGTTTGTCTACCTATTTAAGTCTATATAATTTAAGAAGGTTCTATTCACTCTGAATAGTGAACAATAGGAAGTACTAGGTGACTCAACATTGCAATAAGAAAGGAAAAAATTACAAGTAAAAACATAGCACATACCTGCCAACATTAGAAAAATAAAATAACGGAGATTTTACTAGCGATATTTTTTAGGCTAAGAGCAAAGTTTTGATACATCATGCATGTCAAAAAGAGAAATTCAAAATTGGAAATAATATAAGCACTTATATTTAGTGAAGTAAAAAATATGTATATAGATCATAACCTAAAAAAATTTTTTTTAAACCATTATATATAATTACTTAAACTATTAACACTTAACGTACTGCAGTACTGGCAATAGCACTATCTGTTGAGGAATAAGAGACAGATTTTTGTCCTCAGCGGATATTTAATTGTTAATTTTTCATTTTTAAAAAATTTCTTCAACAAATACGGAGAAATTTGAGAATAAACAGGAGATAGATGTAAAATACAGGAGTCTTTGTTAAAAAACAGGAGACTTGGCAGGTATGTAGCAGTCCTCTTAAAAAAAGAATTCATACCCTGATGATCAACGACGTTTCTTAAGACAAAAGTAGCCCTGAGTCCAACGTAGCTTCGTGCAATACAGATTCCCACAAATCTATTCTGCTTACCAGGATCATACTTATCAGAAGCTGTTACAGCCAGAATAGATCCTGCAACACACACTATCAAATACAGGATACAAGTACTAATGCATTTAAATAGATTATCACTTAGATGCTCATTGTTATGTCATAAATATGTTAATAAAGCCAATGTATTAAAAGAACTATAGAGATCCCTCTTCATATCACTTATTTTTAGAGAGACAGAAAAAAATGTGATACATCCCAATGAGTGATATAATGAATGTTCATATAAAATAAGTGGAATTTTCATGTTGAGTAAATATATATATTAAAACTACTTCATCAATTAAAATAATAATACACAATTATCAGTTATTTCTACTTTCTTTAATTATAATCACAAGAAAAGCAGCAGCAAACATCAGACTTGTCAGATGAAAAGGAAAACTTATCAGATGAAAAGTGATAATTTGGAAAATTGCCATGTATATTAAAAAGCATCAGCTTATAGATCTATTAATAAAATAGTAAGTTCCACCTCTGAAACAAATTGAATAGCTTTTAATTGGTTGTCTTTTAATTTTTGTTGTCTTTAATTATTCTTGATTGAAATAAAAATGTGTTTCATTTTGCTTACAATGCAAATTATCTCTTTTTTAAAAAAAATTTTTTTTTTTAGAAATTTAATTAATATTAAATTTTTTTTCCATTATATTTGGTATTTCAAAAGTTTTTGGATGCGCAAAGTATTAAGAAATCTCGAAATTATGATTATTTATATTATCATAGGCATTTTTCATGTATTTGGCTAATTGACAAAAAAGTTAAAAATAAAATCATAAAAATTATAATTTTTATCACTCATGAATCTTGAGCAAATAATCAATTAATTATCTTAAAATATCTAAAAAGAGTGTAAACTTTTAAACAAAATAAAGTTTTAAAATTATGTTGAATGTTAAAGTCAACTGAATGTTAAAGTCAACTAACTCTCATTTAATTCAGAGTTTATAGATATAAGCGGGGGAAAAAAATTTCTTAAAAATCCTTGATAAAATATTTTAATTCACAATAATTTCAAGTTTCTAATGTCAGTTCTTTTTGGCACATCTAAAAAAAAATATCTACATACATTTTGAATGTTACACTTAGGTGGTTGTAACTGCTTTAAAATAGTAATAGAAATATGAAAAAAGCAAAACATTGGCACAATCTTGTATTTTATAATCCAATTTCTAATAATAAAAATCTTATTTAACCACTTGAAAACTTCTTAAAACAAGTTTAATAACATGTAAAAGTTAATGTATTTAAAGAAATATTCTTGGAGTTGGAAAAGTTCTGGTTTAAGTTGCATTTTGAGGAAGTTAATCTCTGAATATGTCAATTTCAAAATGCATAGTAATATTTTTTTTAAAGCACTTCTAATATTTTACTTACCAACATAGAATTCTGGGATATTTATAACACTGCGTCTTTTTAACATATCTTCTCGTTCAAGTTTTTCTCTAATTTTGTTTCGAAATTCATACCTAGGATCTGGCAAAAATTCTGGATAAATAAACCTAAAATTATATTTTTAGCATCAGGCAAAAAGGAGTATTGTCAAACTAAAAACATGAAATAGTTTAACTGTGTAGAATAAAAAATAAAACCTGTGCTCAGCTAAAGTATTGTCAATTTTTTCAGTTTTAACTTCTTTCTTCTTATAGGTAGAAGGTTGTTGATCTGTAGAAAAATATCTCCCTATAAATTGAATAATTTATTATTAATTATTATTGACAAAATATTATCCTTTATTAAACAAATCTGTTTTTGACTATACAAAATGAACCATACAAAGTTTTACCCTTCCCAAATGAAAAATCTTTCTGCAAAAACTCTAACGTTTTGCGACAATGTCGCCGTGTTGCCTCAATTCTGCTACGGGGAACTCACATCATGTCAGAAACACCAAATAAGTGGTGCAGTTAATTTTAACAAAAATTGTCAAAAAATAGAATGGGGCAGATGAACCATACTAAAGGGAGGGAGAAAAAAAGAAAAATCAATTCTATTTTATAAGATTTCAATGCTATTGAGTTTGATATTAACGAGTATTTATGAAAAAAAAGTTAGGGAATTCTTTTTTAAAAGTAGTTCTTAATTTATTTATATTAAAATACATAAAAATGAAAACTGTTGAGTTAGATACTTTTTGATAGATTAATAATTATTACATTTATTCATTATAATAATAGATTTTATAGATATGCAGAAGAGCTGAACTTCCTATGCCGGTTGTCTAGATTTCCGTATTGTGATCAGCGGCAGAACAATCTCAAAGTCGCAAAAAACGGAGAAAAATATCATTAAAGAAGGGGGCAAACTCGAAGCCACCTCCCCAACCAAATAAATTATAGCAAGTTAATGAACTAATCCCCAACGTTGTGATCAACAAAATCAAAAGTAAATTATAAAACACAAAACTCATTACTAGTACAGGTGACTGAAGACAACTGCTTCACATTTCGGGAACAAAATGATTTAAGTAACACAGTTAAGGACATGATACTTAGACTTAGTTAAACTCAAAATAAAATTTTCATTGTTTTCCGTGATAACCTCTCGCAGCTTGTTGGGTGTGCATTGTTTTTCTAACTTTTGAGCTTCAGTTAAAGGCGCTTTTAGCTTTCATGTAAGCCAAAATTGACAGATATGCAGCTTACTCAGCACAGAAAAAAGTAGTCAAATACTTCCTGTTTAATAAATAAATATATCTCAGTCAAAAGAAAAAAATAAAATTATATTTGTTGAAGTTTTCTATGTAAAAATTAGTGTATTACATTTATTTTTCTTCTACGTACTTCTTTATTGATACCGACTTTATTTACTCAAATTAATAAATTTTTTTCCAGTTAACAGCTTCTGTAAAAAGTTTTCGATCAAAGGTCAATATAATTATATATTTTAATGTGTCTATATTATTTATATCACAGACAGTGACGCCGTTATGCTACTAAAGGATCAAAATATTACGGATGATCATAGTTTATCTAATGAGGAAGCAATTGTGAAGCTAAAAACTGCTATTAAAGAAGAACTGGAAAAAGACAAGGTAAAATAATAAACTACACACTGATTCAAGTATACCATATTTAAAAGTAAATTTCCTAATAATGTTTTGTATAAAATTTTGCCTCGCTGCTCGAACCTTTCTTATTTCGGAAATTTTCTTATAATTCTTACAAAAGACAGGGTAAATGACTTAAAAGTGAGATTTCCTAATAATATGTAGATTCAGATATGTAGATAAAATATTTATGACTGGTTTGTTGTGGCTCTGTTGTGACATAAAGCAAAGTTTTCTTGCTAATAATAAGCTATTTTCATAGCTGTTGTAATTTTGCATCAATGGTTTTTGACTATATCAAATATAGCTATCGTTCTGTACACCAACTCTGAAAATGAGCCAAAGAGCCTGAAGAAAAACCTTAGTTTCTTGAAAATTGAAATTGTTTGTGTTTTAAATATTTAAATAGTTACTCTAATAGTGCTTTATTCGTTCTCATAAAATTGTGAGAGATTGAGAAATTTTCATTGATTTCCATAATTTTCATCCACATTAAAAAAATTAGCCAAAGTGGCAAGTTTTAGAAAAGTTAATAATTTTTAAAATATCAGAGTTGCCAGTCCATAATAAAACCAATATTATTTATGAAATTATAATATATTCCATACCATTCTGGTATATTTCATAGCTGTATGTGTATATATTTCTTTAAGATAGCTTTAGGTGCTTTGCTTTAAGTTTTCACTTCCTTGGCAAAAAAGTTTTTACTTTTTTAGAAAAAAACGCTTTTAAAGTATGTCTGTTATCATGCTTAAAAAGTTTATGCCAAATTAATATTATACCAAAGAAGTACCTACATTAAGTTCAGGAGTCTGTCCAGGCCAAATTTACTACCGTTTAGCGGTACCTTCACAAATTCAACTTTTACTTAAAATTTCATTTTTGTATCCCGTAGGAAATGATAAATCCATATTTTTGTGTTGATTTTTTAATATAATTTTTAAATTTCTCAAATTATGTCAAAATTTTCACAAAATAGAAGATACCTCTCAGAAAAACCTAGACAGACCCCTGAAGTTATAAAGTTAAAAGTTCATCTTTGTGTAATTAAATGTTAAGGTGCATTTTATTCGTATTATTCCTTAACCTTCCGTTAGTCGCGTGCTCCTCACGGGTGCATCCCTACTGCACTTCCACCTCCTTTGCCGTCAATAGATTTTTCCGGGGGTCGAGCCTAATGTTATGTTCCTAACTTTGGATTACTCAAATGTCCGTGTAAAAAAGACCTTAGAACATGTCGATGGAGAGTTGGAACCGCTCAAATCACCCCTCTGGTGCAGCGCAACCATTGACGCAATATAATATTTTTATGAATTAAATATATATATTTTATCTCATTTTCTGTCCTTCTCAACGTAGCAGGTATAAATGGTCAAGTTATGTACACAGAAAATGGTTACGGAGTAAAAAACGGCAGAACCTTCTTGCGTCAATTGGTTGAACATCTTGTGATGGAGGAAGTGATCCGACGCGGGAGTAAGAAAAATTTATCTTCGGTACTTCGCTAAATAAGTTTTTTGATATTTATCTCTCTAAAGAGTCTTAAATTGGTAACATTTAACTATTTAAACTAGATTAAATTTCAATTGGCTTTCAAAAAATCAGAAACACCTCATAGGTGCAGCGCGATTAACCATGTCGGAAACAAGTGAGCGACTAACGGAAGGTTAAATGGTATTTTAAAACAAAGCTAAAAAGTGGAAGAAGTCAAATGTAATGTTGACGCAAAAATTTAACATGCGTGCTTCCGCAAGCTTATTAGTTTAACATATAATACCTTACTCATAATTAGGACTGGGTGATAAATCGATGCATCTGAAAATATCGATTTTATGCAATCATCGCCGCTCCAATGTTTGTATTGTCAAATTTTCAAAGCATCGGAAATTGTGATTTACTGAGCTGGGTACGATATTCCCCGACGTATTGTTGACATGGATGTATACACACGGGGTGTTGAGCATTGTTCCCAATAATACATCGATGTCTGCAAGAGTATTTTCCTCCGTAAGTGTGCAGTGATAGCTGTGGCAATGATCGTTATCTTTCCCCTTCTTTCTTACATGGTGACTCATCATTTTGCTGATATGATGAATCCGAATAAGAAGTGAAGTGTTGTCGAATCTCTTAGTTATGGAAGGGTTTTCTTTTAATTGCGTGTGTGCAAATACTGTTGATTTTTTTTTAACAATCAATCCAGTCGTTTAATGTTTTTTAGCTGCTATTTTGCAGACATCTACATCTTTAAATATTAAAAGTGCAACGTCTATTTAAAAACTTATGAATTTACTAAATATAAAACATTAGTATACTGAAACATCACGATGCGTCGTCAAAATATCGCAAGGTTAGCCAGACTATACATCGCGATGCCAAAATCTTAACATCGTGCAGTCCTACTCATAATCACTTACAATGATCAAACTTAATTGTGCTTGTCAGTGTATTGTCATTTCGACCTAATTAAGACCTGAATGAACGTATGATTTATGTCAGTTTCAGAATGACTCTGAACGAAAGATTCCTGAATGGGTTAAAGATGCCTTTCATCATAAAAGCAGTCATTCTACATTTATTTGGACTAGTGCTGCTGTCCTGTGTTTTGATATATTCTTACTCACCATTTATCAAATTTATGAAGATCAAAAGTATGTATATTTTTCCACATTCACTTTCAAAATAAATAAAACTGCATAATAGAGTGGTAATTGTGTTGCAGAGTGAAAAACCCTGAAAATTTTATGTGCAAAAAATCAATATCAATTTATTTATAATACATGTTTTATACTTAACAAAAATTTTTTTTCAATAAGATTTATAATTAAGTTAACTACTAATGATGAATATTGCATCTTTATAGTAACTAATCTTAGTTCTTACAGGAATCGCGATGTCGGATTTTCAAAATTGCCTAACTGTATTATTTTAAAATTGCATGAAAACGAATCGCGATGTACGATTTTTAAACCACATGAAGACTAATCGCAATGTGTAGCTTTTAAATGAGGTAAATGGGAAACTCTATGTTTGATATTCAAACTGTGTGAATATGAATCACGGTATTAGTGGATTCCGGAGCAGTTTTAAATATTCAAACTTCCGAAAATCCGCCAAACCCAAAGAATCAATTGGTGGATTTCTGCCCATTGGAAGAAGAATCACGTGTATGTAATTGTCTCTTTATCGTAAATTATTTTATTTTTCAAAATTTGGATTTTAAATTGATTAATTCCAGGAATATTTCCTTGGATTATAAGTTTTTGATTTGAGAAAGTCGGAGAACCAACGGTCTTGAGAAACGCAGAATTCCGCAATATTCCCAGAAAAATCACATGCCCTGCTCTTAATTTTTTCACCCGGAAGGATAATACGAAAAGCCCAGAATTCCGGGATACCCCCGGAATACAATTACTCCTGATAATAAAAAGTCTTTGCTTCACTACACTCTTCAGAAAGTTTATTTAAGAGGTCCCTATAAAGTGGGAGAAATATTTCTTGGAAAATTCCCCTAAATCTCCTCTAATTGGTAATTAAAAATTTAAAGTATAGGAAAGAGTGAGCTGAGGTGAATCAAGAGTAAATCATGATTTATACAACTATCAAATGCTGAAAAAATATTTTCAAATTAAATAAATACAAATTATTGCAGGATAACTTCCCCGCTGCATTATCTTAAATTATCCTGCCATATTTTTTTTGTATTTTCAAATTATTTTTGCGGCATTTGTTACTTCATGGTTTATGCTAAGTTTACCTGAACTCTCTACTTTAAATGTTCAATCACTTATCCCAGTAAAAGTGAGTTTGATATTTAACTTCTCTCCTACGATGTAGTGCCTTCTTAAGTTAATAGGGGTTTCATGAGGCTGGTTCTTCTCTTTTCAGTATTTGCATCAGACATTGTTTCTAGCATCATTTTATTTCCTTATCTTGGGACTTATTATCATATATTTTCTTACCATAATCAGTATTTTCTAAACTATTATCATAGCAGCATCTTGTTCTGCTGTTATTAATCTATACATTTAATAATCTGTATTGTAAGTATTGTAAAATGTCTTTCGCTGAAATTTTTTGTGTAAATACCAACAAAGGCTATTTTAACATAAATTTTTTATGAGTAAAACTGCAGTAGTTATTGTTCATCTGTATAAAGATATTTATCTTAATGCATATCAGCTTTTTTAATTTTTAAAGCAAAAAATTATTTTTAAATTATTTAATAACTTTATTAAATAATATATGTGCGCAGATCAAATTGTTTTACTTGAATTTGACTTCACATACATTTTGAAAAGTAGTTGATTGCTCTTCATGCCATTTTATTCATCTTAGTATGAATGAAATGGTTGTATAAAATTTTAAGACTAATAAAACCTCATTACCCTAAGTACTAGTAAGGGAACACACACACAACGAGAACAATTTCATTAATTTTATGCATATGTTTTTGCCAATAAAGAATATTAATTTTTGAAAAGTTATAAAAAATAATTTAATTTGTATTTTTTTTAAAGGAAAGTGAAAAATAAAATTGTTAGATGTTAAGGTAAGCGAAGTCAACGGTAAATTTTAAGGAAAAATACTCGACTTTCATATCAATATAATTTTATTTCACTGTCTATATAATATAATTTTATATCCGTGCAGAATCAATAGAATTTTATTCCACATTATTTATTATTATTATTAATTTAAAATATAATTTTTATATAGTTTTGTTGGTAGTTTAAGGTATTTTTCCTTTAGATGTTTTCTAGCTTTGAAAAAAATTGCCACAATTAAAATTATAATGTAACATATATATTATAATTATATTACAGAGACTAAAAATATTAGATTTCTTAAGTAGGACTGTGTGATATATTAGAAAAAATATCAATGTTATGCAGTCATCGTCATTCCAATATTTAAATTGGAGTTTTTCGCAGCATGATTATTTTTTAAAGCANTTAGAAAAAATTGCCACAATTAAAATTTTAATGTAACATATATATTATATTACAGAGACTAAAAATATTAGATTTCTTAAGTAGGACTGTGTGATATATTAGAAAAAATATCAATGTTATGCAGTCATCGTCATTCCAATATTTAAATTGGAGTTTTTCGCAGCATGATTATTTTTTAAAGCATGAGGTTTTCTAAGAAATTGAGTTTTTTTTATATAAATTTTTCTCTTTCTCCCAAAAATATAAAAAACCAAATTTGAGTGGACGAAAAAACCTGAAAGTTACACATGGTTTTTGGCATCAATTGTTCTTAAGTTTTCAATCCTTTCTCAATCCATCATATTTATAAATGCTGGTTAGAGTGGTAATACATTGAGATGCAAAAATTTTAACAATGTCTTAGACACTAATTTATTATAGTCTGATTCTATTATATATTGGACTATAATTGTATGTGAAAAATTAGCTTAAACTTTATTGACTCTTTTGTATGTTTATTGTGATTGGGTATGATTTTTCTATAAAATCTCCCACTTGAATTTGATTAAAATTATAGAATTTCTGATATTTTATTAACAATTTATTACATAAAAGTTTAATTATATAAACTGGTAACTTTGAATTTAAATAAGTAATTAAAAAGTAAACATTTGACATACTTGAAAATAATATTTAATGTCATTTCAATAATATATAGATTTTATAATTTTTTAATCATTAGAAATAACTATTTGAAAAAAACAATGAAAACTGCAGACAAAAGCATTTTAAATAAATGACTTCAAAATCATGCATAGATAATCCATTATAAACAAAATATTATTAATTTTAAATTTCATTTTTGAATTAGTATATGCTTAACTTTCTTTATTTTTTCAAATTTATTGAGACAAAAAGAGGATAAAATTACTGAATTACACAACATTTAATCATTTTGCATCATAAGCAAGTCTATTTTTTAATAAGATTATTTTCTTGTGTACATGTAGTCAAGCAATATCTTAACCTAGATATGTAATGGTATTTCCTATAATTTTCTTTTCCTTGTATATTCACTTTTTTTTTCTTCTTTTACTATATTTTTCATTTTTGTAGTTTCAGGTTGAAATCTGTGGCAGTGCAAATATTTTTTCTCATTGTCTTTTTGATTGGAAATGTTTGCATGATGCTATTGGATAGTTTCCTTCGCCATTCCGAAATGAAGTCAAAAATAAAAGCTTTGCTGAAATTACTTGAAGGTACTCATTTGTTTCTCTCTAGTATTGAAAAGCTTATAATGTGTGTATTTCCCATACCATTAAACATGATGCATAGAGTTTTTAAAAAGTGCTTAGATATGCTTATTTTCAATTTTCGTTATTTAAAAGCCCTTAAAGATGCTTTTTTAATTGGAATTTTTTAAAAAGTGCTTAGTTTTCTTTTTCGAAAATGAGTTTTTTTCCCCTTTACCAGGTCGATTTTTGTCACGTATTATGAAAAAGCGTGTTTTTCACATTGTTTTATTCAATGTTTTAACATTACATTCAACCATAATCTATAACGGCTTACCGTCGGTCCATAGCGTATGTAAGCGCCCATCATTTTACACGTTTGATAAAAAACTTGCGAGTCCGTGTGTGCATATTTACTGAGCTGGATTCGGTGAGATTCTCGCACTCTCATGTGCAACTCTTCTGCATTTTGCAAGATACTCTCAATTTCAGACTTCATTTTCCACCCTCTGATATCGAATTGAAAAATCTCTTCATTTTATAATGGCTAATATAATCAAGAAACGAGTTCTTTGTCAGAAACTGGTTATTTTATCATGATCATGTGAAGTCTTTGAAAATTATTTTGCATTTTGTTAAAGTGTATGGTGCTTTAAAAGTACTTAAAGGGTGTTTATTTTTTGTTGAAAGATTTGGCTTATTAACCCTGAATTAAATTTTTGTGTCATTCTATGAGTTTTATATATGTTCCTACAGAAGTTAATAGGACAGATTTTTTTAATAGGGATGAAAATCAGTTTATCATCAAATTGCATTATGATAGTTAATTTGGGATGATTAGAAAGTAATTAAAGTTAATCACATGCTGTGAAGAAAAGACTGTGTATATTTGATTAAAAATCAAATTTTTATTATAACTTTACTACTTTTGTCTAAATATAAAGACATCTTAATTGTTCAACTGTTAATTTTGTTATCGTGTTATAGTTTATTTCATTTATTTATTAAATCAATTACAATAGGAAGTATAAATATTTAATGTTATTTTCAGTTTAGTTATTTTATCTTTGCCATTTTGCTCCATCCATTTACAATAACGTCACAAATATTTGAATTACTTCAGAAATTTCAAGTCAGAAATAAAAAATAATGAACTAATAGTTTTTTGTGTATTATTTATGAAATAAATGAAACTTGATATTTTGTGTTCTCCTTCCTTCCTTCCTTCCTCACTGGCTCGACAGCCCAGGATGGGCCTTGGCCTTCTCCAGTAGTTTTTTCCAAGCTGTCCTTCTTTTGGCAATGGACTTCCAATTCTTTATTTTTAATATAGATAAATCTTTCTCCAGGGTATCTAGCCATCTGAGATTTGGCCTGCCCCTTCTACGTGTTCCTGTCGGCCGGGCATCAAAAATCTTTTTCACAATACGGTCTTCTTCCATTCTTACTAAGTGGCCTGCCCATTTTATCTTTTGGACCTTAATGAATCTTATGATGTCTGGTTCATTATATGATCGATAGAGTTCTAAATTTGATCTTCTTAACCACTGACCGTTTTTATTAATTCCTCCAAAAATGCACCGTAATATCTGTGTTCTAATCTTTATAAAACCGTTTTGGAGTTTACATCTTAGATTTTATGTCTTTAGATTTCATTTCTTAATATTGATTGTAATTATCCACTTTGCAAAGAAATTGTAGCGTATCTACCACTACAAAAAATAAAATTCCAATTCACAAGTGTATATAAAACATGTCAACTCGATTCTCTCTTGGGGTACCTTTTCATAGGTGAAAGTTGACATTATCGATATCTACTCTCCCCACTAAAACAATCTATTTTTTTGTTGATTGTGCTTTACTTTTTCCCTTATGAGTTAATCTTTCTTTTAAAACATCTGTGTTTTTTAATTTTACAGGAAACAGAAATGTCGAACCAAAGGGTGATCAGTTTCTCAATTTGCATGCTCCCCAATCTCCCTGTATTTCATTGCAGTGGACTTATCGCAGTGGCCAGCTTTTGAATTTACCTTGCTCTCTCTTAGTAGAAGGTGATATCATTTTGATGCGACCTGGGCATCCAGCTCCTGGTTACTGCAGGTCTCTTTACCAAGTCAGTGTTATTCTTAACTTTTAAGCATTTTCATCACATGATATGCAGTCAGCATTGTCAATTTTCATCTCCAATGAAGATCTAGATTAAATCCCATTAAAAATAGCATGTTAATTTCAATATTTTTTTTAATTAAACATTGGACATTCTTTGAATATTATAAACCAATGGTAGAAGGTTATAGTTTACAATAGGAATCCCCTCTTATTTTTGGTGATTTTTTTTATACAAAGGTTGGCACCAAAAAGTAATACATTTTCGTTATGCTTTTTACAAATTTGTTTAAAACACATTAGAGCATTTTATAGTTACAATAAAAATTTAAAACATTTAATAGGACTGTTAATTTAATATGGATTTTATTTTAACATCCATATAAAATAGTTAAGAAAATTGTAATTTTGTTTTCATTACTCAAATATCATTAACGCAAATCATTTTAAATCAATGAAAATAGATCTTATATATGAACTTCATTAAAATGTCTTTTCAGTCTTGTTCGCAATCTTTCAAGTTCCATCGAATCTGGGTACAAACCTCTCCACATAAATTCAACAAAATCACAATCAAAGATTTCTTCGGATTTCTTGGCACAAATTTTGCTTGCATAATTCTCATTTGATTTGGCTTCACATGCCCTCAATTTTATTGGGATAGTCACCAGTCCCAAGATCAGCTGAGTTCAATGAATGATTATCCACTATCAGATTGATGCAGAGAATCTTCTTTCCAAATTTCAAGCAAAGTCTCTTTCATGAAATCTTCTATAGCCCCCAGAAAATATTTACCATTCACTCATCTATCACAATTATATTTTCTCTTACTGAACTTTGAATTTTCACAGCCATGCCAGGACCTCCAATAAATTTACTCTTTTTCACACGTATATCAATACACACTTCTTTACAAGAATTATGCCAAATAACCACAGTTTCCTCAGAGACCATTTACAACAATGAACATTTTTACATTTCTCCAAGACAAACCCATTCATAGCCATCCTTTTGTTTAATCAAATGCATATCTTTCATTCAAACAGGACAAAAAGAATGACTAATCAAACCTTCATGATACCTACTAATGGATCCTAATTAGTCAAAAATAGCTTTCTTAATCTTTTTCTTCAGTTCTTTTTTAGCAAAAAAAAGTTTATTTTAATTTTATTTAAAGTTCATTAAAATTTGTTATGAAATGTCATGATTTTAGCTATTTTTAAAGAAAAAAATCATGAAAGGTCATGGATTTAGGTAGCCCAAAAGTCTAATTTTTAAAATGGAATCCCCCCCCCCTAATTTCATGGTATATCGAATATCTGAATTTGTAACAAAATCCCCACTCACAGTCATATTTTATTAATATTATAAAATATTTTTATCATGCTCATTTAAAATTATGGTGTTCTTTCAACCGAAAAAACATCATTTCTAGAGCGAACTATCTTTTAAACTTCTGTTATTTCAGAATTTTTGTTATTTTTTATTTTATTTTATCAATTTGAAATTCTAGCTGAAGCAAGCCAGTCATTGGCGAAATTTTTTTATTTGAAAATGAGAACAGAAAAATCAGGACTATTTCTTTCTGATACACAAGAAAAGTTTCTTTAGAATATAATTCTGCAGAAAAAGAATTTTTTGCTTCTGTATTTTTTTCAGCTATTTTATTGCTTCAATTCTTTCTCTACTCTGTTTTCTTAAATTTAAAATCTATAAATATGAAGATGCAGAGTATAACAGTTTTGTTTATACTTATCATTTCAATTATTTTTCCTTTTAAAATTATTGTTGTGTTTTTGTCAGAGAGAATAGTAACTTCGTTAAGTCATGAAAAATTTTTAGAATTAGTCTTGAAAAGTCATTGATTTGAAAATCTAAAATGTAGCAGATACCCTGCATATAATTCTTTTTTTCTTTTAATTGAAAAACTTATTACTAGTTTAGAAAATCAAACTGTTGAGAGATTTTATAATTAACTACATGCATAATGTTTTCTATTTTATTGTAGTCCTCAAATGGTGTGCAGCAGCATCTAAAGCGTGGTCAAATATTTACAACTATTGATGAAGAATTTTCTGAAGAATTCAATAGTCCTCGACTGAGAAAGCCTGCAGAATCATTGGAATTTGTGATGCTGGAAACTCCTTTTATTTATGGATTAAGGTTAATTATTATTTCTTTTTTTACTTACAACTATTCTTATCCACAATTTTATAATTATGTGCAGAATTTAATTTTCACTTACTATACTATTTTTATTTATTTATTATATTTTTATATTCTTTTACTGACCTTCTATTACTAAATGAAAAATTTAATTAATTTCTTTTGAATTCAATGAAATCTTTCAAAGTACTTGCACAAGCATTCAGTATGATCTATTTTGACCTTGTTTCAACAAAATGCCAAATTTAATATTTTTTATGTATAAATATTTCATTTATTTTTTTTTTTGCTCCAAGTTTTCATTTTTGCAATTGTTTTAAAGTGGGACATGGATAGCCTGGTTGGTAGGGCATTGGCCCCCTGTCCAAGAGATTGTGGGTTTTCTCCCTGCAGGTTGAAGACTTACCGTGTAGTAAATGGTGATTGGTGCACGTTATATCTGTCAGGTCACAAAGTCCTCCATGTTCCCATAGCAAATCATACTTCTGGGGGTACTTATCCAGAAGTTTCCTTGCGTTCAGGATTGGTTCAAAATTTCAAGGCTACAGAGTTGCTAAAGTTGTTTTAAGGCTAAAGTTATTTTAATGTAGGCTGATATTCAACCACAAGTAGTATTGAAGACAACTTGAGAGTATATGAGAGATCTTTTAAAATAGCTTAAAGCAGAATATGTATTTTTTATAATTTTATTTAGAAATAAAGTTTTAATTTTTTTTTAAAAAAAGAAAAGAAAAAAAAACCTGTACTGAATCAAGATTTGTTCATTTGTTTGTGTTTTTAACTGACGTATGAAATGAATTTTAAAGACCAACAAGCAAGCAGATTTTACAGTTAATGTTCAATCATGCTACAACTACTTTTCTGTGGTTGTTTTGTTGAGTTAATAAGATGCACACATGATTCACATGAATTTGAACCATTCAAATATATTTTCTCATATTTAAGTGGATTATAATTGAAAGCAATGTTTATAAAACATTGAATTAATTGTCTTCTTATTATAAAATGCCTTTTCATTAACATGTACATTAAGTACACATTTTTTTTGTCAACTGTATAGTTATTATTAAGTTTAGAACATGATTAATACAAGTATAACAAGCAAAAATCATTTCATGATTATTGATATTATTACATTTATTATCAACAAGTACGCTCTACCTTTCTACATTCAGATTTTATTAATTAAATATTTTTGATCTAATTACAAATTTGTTGAAGGAAAAGAAAATAATTTTTTTCATCAAAATTTTTAAAAATTAGTTTGTGTTACATAGACAGTACTGTTAGAAACACAAATCAAGCAGAAAACAAAGAATATTTAAAGATATGTATGTTAGCAAAATAGCACTTCATCAGGGAGCATGCTGTCTCTGTCTGCCAACATACAGGAGCTTTTCTGTCGCCAGTGGTAATACCAAAAACTGACTGCATCCCGAGGTTCCATAATGGCTTAACGAAATAAAAAAAAAGCAATTAAAAATTGAAATGTAAATGTTATGAAAAATGAATTATATAGAAACACAATTCAAAAGTACACACTAATTAATAAAATTAAAAAAATTTTAATCAAATCAATTAAAAAAGATTTAAAAAAAATTATATTTTCACTAATTCTGCTATAAAGAGAGAATTTACTGTTTCTGAATTTCATTAATTTGTTATTTAAATTTAACATTTTTTTTCTTACAAATTAATTATCACTCAGGGATAACATTTATTTTCCTATTGATAAAATAACTAATGATTAATAATAGCAACTTAATTAATTATCCAGTTATATTATCATGTAATTTGGGCTTGTTCTCGTTCAAACTGGGTAACTGGAATTTTAGCTTTTAGACGTAATAAGCTTTTAGATGAAACATGTTTTGTTGATTTAACTCTTCATTATTAAAATATAAATGCATCTTTGTGCACACAGTACATTACAATGTTGTTTAATTAATCATTTTTTATTGGCAAAGTATTGCATAATGTGTTTGAGAATTATACTTTATTTATATTTCAAAATACCTATTTCCAAATTAAAATTAACACTGGCATATATTAATGTATAATTTAACCAACTTTTCAGGTTTGCATTAAAAAATTCTCTTGGAAAACCTGTTACTCTTTTCAACAAAGAATATCAAGCAGTTGTGTTTTTTTATTTTGAAAAAATTTTAATACCAATTGTTTTGGTAAGTTATATTTTATTATTACTACTTCTTTTGCATTTTGCTGAGATTTTTTTTTGAAATTTGTCATATTTTTTTTTAAATTTGTATACCTCCTTCTAAAGATAGTCACCTATAACTAAGTCTAAAGAAATTGTTTGCTTGCATAAATAATATTGACTCATTTAAAATTTTCTTTCTTACTGAAGCAACTAAAGAAATGTAATCAATTACTTAAAATCTCCAATTGTAGGGGTGTGCAATCTGTGGTCTGAGGATTAAATATAGTCCTTGAATGTTCAATTTTCAGTACTTTGTCTTCTAACCAATAATTAATTAGAAAAGACTAAGTAGCATAAAAATAAATTTAAACTGTTTTTCAACTGATTTCAATATTTTTAAAAAAAAAAACTGAAATTATAACCTTAAATTTTTTTATGTAGATGATTTAATTCAGAATGTTAATTTTAAATATTCTAATATTTCAGTTTTTTGAAAGGAAATTTTCTTTAATAGAAACATGTTCAAAACAAATGTATGTACTTTAATGTTTATTTCAATATCAAAAGTTTCAGAATGAAGACAAATCGTGCAAAAGTTTAAATCATGCATTTGACATTTTTATTTTTTTCAAAGAACTGTCCTCTAACTAAAATATGTTCAAAACATTTGTAGTTTACAGATTTATTTAAGAATTGAAGATGCAAACAATATTATTGTAAAGAAAGTGGAAAACCTTTTAGAATTTTAACAAAGACAAAGTGTTTAAATTTAAATTATGCATAGAACATTTTAATTTTTTTAAAGCCAAATTATGTTCAAAAAGCATCTAGTTTAAAGATTTATCTTAAAAATAAAGAGGCAAACAATTTTTCTGTAAAGAAAGTAGAAACCCTGTTAGAATTTAATTTTGATAACACAGACAAAGTATACAAGAGTTTTAATGCTATGCATATACTTTGCCTTTTAATTTTGAAAGCAATTTAATATTCTAAATAATCTAAAGACTAATCAAGTTAAAATTGATTGATATAAAGACTCAATTCTTTGTGACTCTAGAAAACCATCTAGATTAATTTTTTTGTAATATAATTTTTGAAATCACAGCAATACAATTCTCTGCTTTTTTTTTGTTTTGCTATGTATGGGTATTTTTGTGATAGTCAAGCGCAAGGTATGGGTGCGATTTTTATTTAATTTATATTTTATTTAATTTTTATGTGTTTAAAAAAAGAAAAAAACATTTGGTCTTCTTTTTTGGCAACTTTTTGCTTACGTCCGGCTAACTGAAAATTACCAAAATATGAATGGTAAAAGAAACTTTTATTAAAATAAAGTTTTATTTTTATTTTTCTGTAAATGATAATAAGAAAGTGAACTAAATTTAGAAAGTAACTTTTTTTAAAGCAAACTTTGTATAAACTTGAAAGTAAACTTGATGTATTTGTTAATGATAAATTAGGAAAATTCTGCTGGATTATAAATTTCTTTGCGGACTTTTTATGTTAAACTATTATTTCAGGCCATTGTGTTGTGTGCTATGCTAGATGCCATTTTGTGATGTTTAGCAATCAACCAATAGAAAAGTATTTTTGTTAGTGTTCATGTAGAATTTTACAAAGTTAACAATCTAATTATGGGTCAAGTAGTGGCTAATAATAATAGCTTTATGAAGGGGAAAGGGCACTTCAAATTTTTAAAATGTTTCCAAACACTCTCGACCTACATTCAGCATTATAAGATGTAGACATTCTAAGATTCTATGTAAAATTATAATTATCAGATGATACTATGCAGCTGTGTTGTTTTTACTCGGATGAAACCGGTTTGCATTTGTTTACGCTCTTGTATCAGTTGGTTAACATTGTAATGCAATACGTTGAAAATAAATACAATAAGGAAGTATATAAAAAATCTCCTGAAAAAAAAAACCCATTGCAGGTATGTTTAAATATAAAAGTATTGCCTATAAACTCGTGCAAAACATGTAATAATTTAAAAACTACAGTGCATATAATAATTTGGTCGAATTATTGTAATATACTAATATAATACCTGATATAATAAATATTCTGTATTTATATAATGTATCGTCTAACTTATCCAATCGTCGAATTTATATTATAATTTATATTATCTAGTTTAACCAATTGATATACTAACATAAACAAGTGCAAACAAGGTCTCAGTCGCTTAAAAACAATTCAGCTCTGTAGTATCACCTGATAATTAAGAATTTACATGGAATCACATAGTGCGTCCAATAATTTGACCAGGAACTGAAGTTAAATTTTTAAACATATACTGACATGTTCTTTTTAATGTTATCTGAAGCCCTTAACTTTGATTTTTCCCTATTTACTTTACTTTTTATATATGTTTTGCAGAACGTTTCTCAATGGAACATGTATATATGAATGATTTCTTTTTACATGCAGGTTGTCACTATGTGCATTGGAGTCGTTCGTTGCATTTATTTTGAATCGGAGCATGATGAATGGGCAGAGCATCTCTTACTTCGCCCCGTTTGTGCTCTCCTTCCCCTCGTCCCCATCTCTTTTCCTTTGTGCTGGATTATATTGAATGCTTTTGGAAACTCATATTTATTAGCCATTGTCAACTCCAAACAGTGTCTAGTGAGTATTAAATATTAATTATAAATTTAAACATTTATTGTCTTGCATTCTTTGTTTTGTCACCTCTCTCATGGTGTGTAACATTTTTAAAAAGTGCTTAAAGGTACTTCGTTTTGATTTTTGTTTCTTTAAAGCCTTTAAAGGTGCTTTTCTCATTAGGTGTTTTTAAAAAGTGCTAATTTTCCCTGTTCGAAAATGTGTTTGTTTTCTTCACCATGTCGACTTTCGCCACGTATGATGCAAAAGCGTGCTTTTCACATTGTTTTATTCAATGTTTTCACAATTCATTCAACTAGAGTCCATTTTGGCCTATCGTCGGTCCATAGCGTGTGAAAGCTCCAATCATTTTACATGTTTGATGAAATACTTGGGAGTCTGCGTGTGCGTCTACTGAGCTGGGTTCTGTGAGATTATTGCACTCTCATGTGCAATTCTACTGCATTTTGCAAAATATTCTCAATTTCAGTGTCGTCATTTTCCACCCTCTGAAATCAAACCAAAAAAATCTCTTGATTATTTTATGGTGGCTAGTATAATCAAGAAAAGAGTTCTTTGTCAGAAACTAGTTATTTTATCATGATCATGTAAAGTATTTGAAAATTATTTTGCATTTTGTTAATGTATATGCTTAAAAATATTTTTTGAATGCTTGGAAAGTACTTAAAAGGTGCTTATTTTTTGTTGAAAGATTTGACTATGCACCCTGTCTCTATGATAACTTATGTAACGTAGATTCAATGGAACATGTTCTAAATCTCTTCTACTAAAAAGTAATAAACATTTGTTTGATTATAGACTTACCAAATAATTAAGTTGATAGTTTATTCATAGCACCGTAATTCTTTGCTTTAAATTTTTTGATTCTTAGTGGGTTTCTACTGGTCTTAACCCATTTTCAGCCAAAGGTGTGCAAACGCACCATTTCAGTAAAAAAAATTTATTAACACTGTGACATATATTTTTCACTAATTTCATCTTTCTGCTGTTGTCGAGGGTTCTGAAGACATCCATAAATTATGAGTAATTCAATTGGAATAACCACTTTCTGTTGAGAAATTTCACGCTATGCTTATGAACTTAAAATCTAAAAATTAAAAAGAAATAAAGAAGCTGCTTTTTAAGTAAGCTATCATAAAAACAACACAATTATGTTCAATTATCTTATTTAACATGTAATCCAGAATTTGATGTGGTAACCTTACCAGTACACAATTCCTGAAAACCAGGGCACTTTTTGAACCTATTTTAAAAAAACGTACTTGGTGCTTTGAAATTTTTTTTTATAGAGTTGCATCATACGAAAAGAGCACAAAAATAACTGGCTAACTTTCTATGAGCCACTATAACAAAAACTTAATACAGTAGAAGCTTAATTTATTATTTCTCATGGGAGCATTCTTTGCGGACAATAAATGTGGCAAAACAATAAATGATAAACTAAATAATTAATAATAAAAATTTATGTTTAACCGATTGTTGCGAAAATTCTCAAAAAACGTATTTATATTACTCAACTATAATCTAAACTACGAACTCACAATAATTATGAATAAATCGTAATAGTTGGCACAGCTACATAAGTAATCTTAAACAAGGATTTCTGTTTTTCAGACAAAGGGAGTGCATGGACCGAGGAGATGAAAAAAACCAAATCACTTGAGCAAAAAAGAAAAACTCGAACTATTCAAATTTTTTAACTTAAAACAGTTACTGACAAACAAAATTTTTTGAAAATGTATAATTATTCCTTTTGAAATTCATCATATGTTTGTATGATGGATTAAAGTAGTAAGTTAGTAAATAAAAAAAATAATGAAACAAATTTCATAAAAAAGCAGGTGTTCAACCTATAGGCAGCATTTTATTTCTTTTATAAAATATAATTTTTCACACACAATTTTTTTTGTGTCTTAATGAATGTAACGTAAGCATATTTCAATGAAAATATTACCACATTTTATAAAATTTCTATTCTTGGCCTAAAAGAAACCATACACCAAAAGAAACCATAAAACAAACCTTTAAGGCCTGTTTATTCAGTCTTGTTTATACATATTGGTCCAAGATTGTTTGAAATGGATGGAAACATGTTTTGCTTGGAGCTTAGATTGTTTTAACGATCATCCAAGTTCTTGGTCAAAGCCTTTGGAAGAAAAGAGAAGATGTTCTTCTTTCCATCCAAGTTTTTCCTTCTGTAACTAATCTGCTTCTAATGTTTTATGATGTCAGCGAGCGGATATCATTTGTTGATCCTTTTATTTTGCTGCAAATTTTCATGTATTCAAGTCTAAATAAATTAATCTGTTAGGATCCATTTCTGTTATTACGATTTTATTTAACTTTATTTTGTAATTTTGCCTTCATGTAAGTATTGTTTTAATAATCTTGAATATTAACAATGTGCATGTGCTGGTTTTCCACCTAACCAATCAGTGACACTTTCAAGAACATGTACTGTATAAACAGGCCTTTAGAAAGTGCTTATATGTATTTATTTTAACCTTCCAATTAGAGGAACTATGAAAAGTACTTATTTTTCTTTAGTTGTTCTTAGAAAGTGCTTGTTTTCCTTCTAAGACAAAATTAAATTTTAATCAAAATTAAAAATTAACTATTTGTTCAAATGAATAAATTTTTTATAGCCTTATTATCTGATTTCATTTTAGTATCAAGTGATGAATTAAACTATATGGAAGGATAAACTATGTAACTAAACTATATAAATTGGTGATAAATTAAAAACAACTATGCTGAAATGATATGTATGGGTATACATGCCCATATTTAAATTCATGTTTAAATAAAAGGGCTAAGCGTGCTGTTGGCTTATTTTGAACATTTTATGGAAATTTAAAGCTTGACTCAAAAGTTGAATTGTATGGATAGTATCATATTAATTTGTTCTATATAAAATAAAAAAATGTTATCAATTTATGTACCTTTTTTAAGTCCTTGTATGAATCAAAGTTTCCTTCCCTATGGTAATTGTCTCTATCAGAAATATAGTTTAAATTCATTTAGTATAAAGTTATAAATGTCATAAATTTTAATTTTATGGCTCATTTTTAAAATTAAAAATTATCTAGTTGGGATAAATACTATTCTAAAAATTTCTTAACCATGTAAATCTTTAAGTTTTATCAGCATCTATATTATACAATTAATATCAAAAGTATTTAAAAGCTAGTATGTGCATTAGTTTAATAAATTGCTAAAAATACTCATATTTTAAAATATGAAAAATTCATTTATGAGTTATGAAAGTGCAGTTTTCTTTAATTTAATTTAATTTTGTGAAGGAGCAATTTTTTAAACATGATTTTTGATTCATGAAATTGAATTTTGTATGGGAGTCAGCTACCCGAATTACCCCTGCTATGAATCAAACTAAGCTGAAAAGGGGTTTAACTCCCAATTTAATATGAAAGACACGTATTAAATTGGGAAATAGGGATTTTAAAATGCTTTATCATAAAGTCTTAGAAATTGCTTTTACATTTACTTGGAAATAAGGAAAGTTTACAGATGGTTCTTCGATCAAGTATGCAAAAAAATAAATGAATTAATTAACTAATTAAAAAATAAACAAGATATGACAAAATTTTAAGAAACATAATTTTTAAGTGTGCTAAAAAAAGATTATCACCACTGAAAATATTACCATGTCTTTTGAAAATGATAAATACTAGGTTTTTTTATGTTTAGAATATTATCATTTGCATAAATAAAATTATTTCCTTCTTTTCTGGTCCTCTAAAAAATGTAGTTTTTAAAATTTGTATTTGATTTATTTAGTTAATTGCTATTTACTTAGTTTATATATTACTTTGCGTTTTTTAGTAATTCAGACAAAATAAATATGAAAGAAACATATACAACCGTAACTTGGCTTTATTTGAATTCTCATTTAAATCAATTATCCCCACATAACTGCACTCAAGTAGTAATATAAAGTTATTCTTATATAAATCCATCTGATATAAATGTCATAAATTTGACAAATCAATTTGCGTTTTTTTAGGTCCTTATTTAAACCAATATTTCCTCCTAATAATTGTCTCTATTGGGAATATAGAGTTATCTTCATAGAAAGTCACTCTGTCTAGCATTATAAATGTTGTCAATTTCAAAAATCAGTATTCCTTTATCAAGTCCTCGTATGAATCACTATATCCTCATAGTAATTGTCTCTATTAGGAATATAGCATTATCCTTAAATAAATTTGCTCTGAATGAAATTATAAATGTCATCATCCTCAATTCAGTAACGTTTCAGTTTTAGAGTCTCTTATAAATCAATATATCCTCATAGTAATTGTCTCTATTAAGAATATTGAATTATCCTCATATAAATTCACTCTATAAAGTTATAAGTGTCACCAATTTCAAAAATCAGTACTCCTTTATCAAGTCCTCATATGAATCACTATATCCTCATAGTAAATGTCCCTATCAGGAATATAGAATTATCCGTGTATAATTTCACTCAGTGTAAAATTATAAAAATCATCAATTCAGAAAATGAATGTCACTTTGTTAAGTCTTCATACAAATCGTGTCCTCATAGCAACTGTCCCTATTAGGAATGTCATCACATGAATTCACTCAGTCTTAAATTATAAATGTCAGTAATTTAGCAAATCAGTATGCCTTTATTAGGTCGTCGTATAACTCTACTTGTAAATCTTTGTCTAAAGTCATAAATACTTCATAATCATCCATAAATCCATGAAAATTCATCATCATAACAATCCATTATTCATCGTATAAATCTGTAATGAATTTGTCAGTTCTACTATAAACTTCTTCTCCATATCACTGAAATTAAAGAAATTAATTATAATTTTAATAAATGCAAATATTTATATCGAAGTATAGCATCTTAAAATTTAGATTCAATGATTGAAAGCTTTTAAATGTGCTGAATGTAAAAACCTTTAGGGTTTATTCCTAATTATATAAAAGATATATTCTAAAGCCTATTAGAATTCCTAATTATA